TATATATATATATATATATATATATATATATATATATATATATATATATATATATATATATATATATATATATATATATATATATATATATATATATATATATATATATATATAGGGTTAGGTTCATGTGAGACGACCTAATTTTGTGAGACCGTGAGACGCATTTTTTATTTTATTTTTAATTTTTTTAGTTAATTCAAGTTCCGAAAATAATATTTAAAAAAAGAATTTTTTGATTTTTCCATTTATTTTGCATTTTAAAATTATTTTTAGAATAAGTACAGTGTAATATTCTATTTAGAATATTTCACGTATTTTTCAAAAAAAAAAAAAATAGGATATATATATATTTTTTTAGTTAATTCAAGTTCCGAAAATAATATTTAAAAAAGAAATTTTTAGATTTTTCAATTTATTTTGCATTTTAAAATTATTTTTTAGAATATGTCAGTGTAATATTCTATTTAGAATATTTCACGTATTTAAAAAAAAAACGGGGTTTTTTTTTTATTTTATTTTAAATTTTTTTAGTTAATTTAAATTCCGAAAATAAGATTTAAAAAAAGAATTTTTGGATTTTTCAATTTATTTTGCATTTTAAAATTATTTTTAGATTTGATCTCACGGTCTCACAAAATTAGAATGGTTTCAAATGAACCTGAATATATATATATATATATATATATATATATATATATATATATATATATATATATATATATATATATATATATATATATAGTCATTTGGTAACCTTGAAATTCAACAATAAAAACCATTTTGAGTTTTATCTTATTCTTGCTTTTGTTCTGCGTCGGGGGACTTATAGGATTGTCTTTCGGTCGTGTGTTTGGTTGGTTTTGTCGATATCATCATCGGACTCTTAGGTTCGGGGTTGATAGTAATCTAGGTGTTACTTTTGGGTTTGGAGGAGATTAAAGATTGGTCGATCTTAAAAGAATCGGAAAATCATTGTATGAATGTTGTATCGAAAGTTGTGAAAATGGCGGAAATTAAGATGGATATTGAGGGAATTGTGGAAATTAAGTATGAGAACTGAGTGATGTTCCTCTTGTGAACCGGTAGTAAAATTTTCTTTTAATTTGAATCCATATCACGACCTTTTCTATTTTGATTGAGAAAATGAATGTTGTGTATTGTGTTGTGGTAAAATGAAAGGTTAAATATGTATTTAGTTATAGGGGTATTATAAAATAATAAAATAAAAAGGGTTGTCTTTAGGGTGGGTGTAATTTCTCGTCGTAGGCAAAGGTCGGGGAGAACTTCCCGAAAATTGTTGTTTGATTTCGGTATCAAGACGAGTATGACGACGTTCCAAACAATGATGCTCTTCCTAAGAGCATTTTTTTGAGCATAATATAGTGATACTATAGACCCATACACACCCTTGTAAACCTTCTCAATATTAGTCTAATACCTTAGATATGCTTTTGTCACAAAGATTTCCGCCTATATTTTATCTTGGTGTTTTAATAAGTTTTCCGATATATAAACTTCTAAATATTATTCTAAACCTATATTTTATCTTGGTATTTTTCCGATATCATGATTATTATGTATCAATGTATTCATATCTAATAATTTCTTTTCGAAACGGCAAATATACTAACTACTTATAAATTATTCCATATATGTCCATCACGAGTCTTGAAACATCGATCTTAAGAACGGAAGACAACAACAAATACCTTTAGGATAGATGCCCTTCGGTATATCTAATAATTGATTTGACGATATTGCTACTCATGTTTTTTCTATATATAAAATTATGATAAATGTATTGGTAAAATGTGCAAAAGAGTAAAAGTTTAATGTAAATTAACCGGCCTATTATTAGACTATTAGTACTTGATGTTTGATGTTGATGTAGATGATGGGATTAGGCGATTAGCCATAACTACTTTAGAAAAGGGGAAATTAATTAAATAAAAGTAATAAAGAAAGCAAACCCAATAGAAGCACGCGTTGTCTTGTAGATTGGAGCTTGTATATATGCAAACGCAAATACCCTCATCTCTTCGAAATTCTAAAAATTCCCCCCTATAAATAATTTACACTAACAAAAAGTAAAAACATCAATAATAATAAAAATAATTGAGGAGAGAGTGTTTAGGGGCAACACTAGCAAATGCAGCTTTCAGCCCTGCATGCCATTTCCATCCAATTACTCCAAGACAAATCCCCATAATATATACATGTATATATAGAGATATAAAAGAACTTCGATATGAGAGAGAAGGAGAATGTTGGTGCTACAACCAATGTAACTTTTTGTATCGAGAATAGAGATTGAGGAGAATGTTGGGTATAATATGTTTCTATTATTTATTTGCTTACAATAATATATAATATTATTGGTACGTACGACAATTTCATTAATAATACACACAATGGGGGTTTGTGGTTTGAATCTATAAAAGACTTGTGCATTATATCTATTTAAAATCTTATCCAGTAATTATGGATACATTTTCAATCTTGTTATAAAAATCTATATAGTAGTATAATAGATCAAAATATTTGATTCTTATGTATTTGAAATTTCAAAATGGTTTTGTAATTTTTTTAGTAATAATTATAATCTAGAGGATTTTTATAATTGTAGTATATAATACTTTAATAATAAAAATGTTTATATTTCAACTAATTAATTATTATAATTTAAAAGTTTTTGTAATTTATAATATATTAATCGGTTGATTTAGTATATATATATATATATATATATATATATATATATATATATATAAAAGATTAGATTGTTATGATTTTAAAAGTAAGATCGGAGAAAAAGATATAAGAAGATAAAAATTTCTATTTCATCAGATAAAACTTAAGCAATAATATTACTGTATGATATGAATTTTCATCAAACAAATTATTATTATGTATTTTTTTTTTCTATTTTCTATTTTTATATTAAACTTATCTTGTTTTTACATATTGTTTTCTATTATTAGAGTGTATGTTTTGGTTTTTAACTTCAATACTATTTTTTAATTCCCTAATTTATAATTGAAAGTTATCGTTTTTTGTTATTTCTATTATTAAAGTTTATTATTTTGTTTGTCATTTTAATATTGTTCTTAATTTTCTAATTTTACCTTGAAACTTATTTTTTGTTGTTTTGTTATAATTCATCAAAAAAACTAACATTCAAAAATAATCAAAATATTTGATAGAAAGTGATAGATGACATGAATGACATATAAATAATAGCTAAATATGAGTAAGAAGGAATTTGATGAAACAATTAGTATAAAAAATTATTAACTCTAAATTAACAATAGTTATATATATATATATATATATATATATATATATATATATATATATATATATATATATATATATATATATATATATATATATATATATATATATATATATATATATATATATATATCAAAAAATAGAATTATATTATTTTAATCAGTGCAATATATTTATCATAATTTTAATTATCATAGTTTTATTTCTTGTATATATATTAATTAGGAGAAAGGTTAGGGAAAGAGTGGATGTCATGTGCAAGCTAATCGATTGTAAACTTAGACCCATGTTAGTTAGGGAAATGATACAAGATGAATAATTAAGATCCAAAACCGTTTACACTTTTACTTGCTTTTAAACATTATTTTTGGTTACAAACATTTGATAGTAAACTGAAAATATATAGGTTAATAACTAGTATCCAATCAAGTAAGATACGGTTAGTGATTGAATATTTTAAAACATGATGAACTTTATAAGATTATTCCATGTCTATTTCATGTAATGGATGGTTTCTTTCTTTTGATTGTTGCAATGCCTAACAACCACAAAATTTCAAAAGGGATGGAACTTTGAAAGAGAAAGGACGTGAAGTGATAACTGATAAATCTCAAACAATGTCCATGAAAAGAGGGCGCCATTTTTACTCCAAAGTTAAGCACTAAGCTTAAAAGCTTAAAGCTTTTATCTTTTTTGGTCTTGTTTTTTTGAGGGGACATGCCCCCTGCCTATTATATTCTTCCAAACACATCCTTCCATTCGCTACCTTCTAAAACTTTGTTTTGGACTTTCTGCAAAACCCTTTTTCTCAATTTAGACTCACCTTCCCTACATTCAATCCTCCTATTAGACTAGTGAATTTTGTACTCCTAGATTGGCCTCAACGTTGTTTTCTGTTTGGATTCTTGTGACGTAGCTGCCAATTCCCCTTCTTTCTCTTTTTCAATCATTCTCTGGTGGAATATAACTTGCTGTCCCAGTTTAACATGCATCGTTCATAAACGTCAAGTATTGTTACCATATAAGTTTCGTATCTGTTCGATGAGAGATGAGCAAGTATAATCAATTATTGCAAGAATCTGCATGCTTTTATAATGCACTTTTCAGTAGGCCATTCATTTGATATGATGTTGGGAACTCTTTAATTTGTGTGAGAATTGAACGATATTAATTACAGCGCAAAAAAATTCCTTATGTCCTTGAAAAGAAAAACTAATTTGTAAAATAAAAAAGGCACATGCCAACATTAAAGGACTAATCTAAAACGTACCACAAAATCCTTGAAGTCCAAAATTTTCAGATGTATAAGATTAAGTGTTTTAACTTGTTGACATTTGCTTGAAAGTCGAACGTTATGTTTTTAATTTATTAAAGAACTACTTAAGTCAATTAAGTCGAAAATACTAGATTAATTTCTCTTTTTAAGTGCATGTATAAACACATGTCTAGCTAGCTAGCATACCCTTCTCTGTATTCTAATTTAAACGAAAAAAAATATTATTTATCTTGAACACAGCCTTTAATTTTCCCACTCTATATAAAGGCAAGTAACGTTCAACTACTTTGTTAATCTCCACTTTCTTGCACCCCACTGAGATACTTGTTTATCCACAGACACTCTCCCACTATCTCTCTCTCTCTCTCTCTCTCTCTCTCTCTCTCTCTCTCTCTCTCTCTCTCTCTCTCTCTCTCGCTCTCTGTGAAGAATGGTTAGGGAACAGAGTGATCACAAAGCCATTTGTTCCTCCATTGCTATGTTGCAAGAGAGGTTTAGACAATTGGAGAAGTTGAAGGAGATGAGGGAAGAAAGAGAGCTTCTGAAGTTGATATCAGTCTCCTCCAATAATCATCAATGCAACTCTTATTATGATCAGCAGTACTCCCTATCTTCAAACTTTTATGAGCCTTCCAAATATATTTTGCATTCCGAAGTCATCTTTCCAACTCAGCCATTGGATTCTCAATTACTCTCCCTCACCCTTTGGCCGACTTCACAGACCAACAAGTATGCCGACAGTTTCTGGGATATCAACATCGAAAGCACTCAAAAAATAAGCAGCAAGCCATCTTGGCTCACCAATGTACCCTTGGCCAGGCCAACCTTAGTAAAAAATATCGATGAAAGTAGTGTTAATTCTGATGTTGATACTACTCTTCATCTCTAGATAGCAGATAAATACATGTAGTATATTTAAATATATGATGAGATTAATTTTCTCTGGAATCTTTTTTTTTTCTTTTCTTTTTTCCTTTTACGATATAAGCTAGCTAGCTATAATGGTTTGCATCAATGTGGTACGTTTTGCATGAAACCATGCACCCAATCTAGGGTTTATTGTGGTGTGTATTAGAAAGGGTGTACATTGGTGATACATCGTGTATGCAGACTGGGTATGTTTTGAGGTATTACTATTAATTAATTAATTAATCTTCCCCAAAATATATAGTGGAGTATCTATCTTCTTCTCCATCCTTGTATTTGATTGTTTATAGCTCATATGGTGATATGGTCACTCTTTATCTGAGTCGGTTTTTCCTCTTAATATATATGATTTCAACGTACATAATTTGTCTTAAGGCTGAAAAACCCTTGGTGCATGATGATCGAGAAATTTGAGAACCTCAACATTGTCAAAAAAAATTCCAAACAGTTAGGTACTTCTTCACTTGTTTTGATACTTTCTTTTAATTGGCATACAAATGATAATTAAGAAATTCTAAGAAAGATCATTCTCCATTTTTAAAATTAATGATACATGAATCAATTTGATTTCTAAAGTTTGTAAAACAATAAATATTTAAAATAGCCATGAATGTTCATAAATGAATGTAAAATATATAAATTTAGCAAAACATGTCTATATTCCGACAGAAAGATACTACTGTTATGGTTTAAGGTTGAAAAAGAATGGGTATGCAGCTGCATTATATATAATAATGTGCACTATGAAAGATTCGATTAAAGTGAAAAAAAAAATCTTGGTATATTGTTTATCAATTTTCTGCTACACATAGGTGACAGTATTTAAGAATACATTAATTAGACCATGTATCAACCTATGCATGGCAACTTGACGAGTCTCGTAAGTTTTTAAACAGATCTCAATAGTCATTTAAACGTCACTTAATATTTAAGTTTGAACTACTCCCAAGTGTGTACTTCAGAATCTTTACTGGTTTTAGTGCATACCACTCACCCTGTATTCCCGTATGCTATTGGAATTATCCTAATTTAAAAAATTATTGACTACCAAACTCGGCCATTACTTGTTTGGGGCTTGTTTTTGGATGGCACTAAGTTCATCATGTGATCACCAACACGAAAGATGAAAAGATAGGGTTAATTTCTTTTTTAATGGCACATATTATTAAGACTAGCACTAAGCAAAGCCCAAAGCGCAAATTTTACATCCACGTAACGACACTAGAAGCACAACAGCCACACTAACCAATCAAATTTAACATTTTACATCAAAATCAGTCTTATAGGAGTTCCTCACGATGCACAATGTACTCAAAAGTAGCTTTCTTTGTATCTTTTCCTCTTTAAAAATTATTCGGTCCTGAAATTGCCAAAGCACCCAAAACAAAGGTATGTAAACATTTTCCAAACAGTTTGTATGATATGTGAGAGTGGTCTGCGAGATATGTAGCTGAAAAATGTGTATTTCTTGGCAGCACTAGGTCGATGGAAAGATTAGATGAGGAGTATGTGAGGGCGATTGTTAAAGTACTTAGGGTGCCTTTGGCAAAACATATATAGAGGGATTGACATGAAATTGTGTCTGGGTACTACTTATCATTCACAAACCAATAAGTAGAGCAAGAGGACTATACATACATCGAATATATGTTTTGTTGGTGATTTTAGTGTTATGAGCGTATTTTAGTATAGTATTAACGTTAAGCTCAAGTGATATTCAAATATTATGATTTATAGTTTAGATAAGATAATCCTTGTATTTTAGTTTGTATTTGTTATTCATTGTACTATATATACATCATATATACACGATTACCTCATTGAGGTTTATTGAGGCTAATCATTATATGGTATCAACTTAGGGTTACGATACCTTCTCTTCACCCTGAATCATGACAAATCATGACAGTCGGCTCTTCTTTTGATACTACTCTCTCTCTCTCTCTCTCTCTCTCTCTCTCTCTCTCTCAATACAACACTTCACATGATCATTGTGAAATTTCCCCCCTCAAATTACATGATATGGCGCAATCAACTCATCCCCCTTCTTGCCTACCAAAAACTCTCAGATCACATCCTTGGCACCCCTCCTATCCCTGCCAAGACAATCGTCTCCATTGATGCTGCCACTCCTCCGGTTCCTAATCCGGCCTATGCCAAATGAGTTGAAGATGATCAGTGTGCGTTCCTTATCATTCACTCATCCTTGATTAAAACAATCATGGCGGAAACTATTGGACTCGCCACTGCCTCTGAAGTATGGCAGAGACTTGAGCGTTCCTATCGTCATGACTCTCATGAATTTATGCAAACCCTAAGAGACTCCCTTCGACGCCTAAAAAAGGGTAACTCTTTTGTCTCTGAATACAACTCTAAGTTTCGATCATTTTGTGACCAGTTATCAGCAATCGGTCACCCTGTGGATGATCTTGACAAATCACATTGGTTTTTTTATTGGTGTTGGCTCCTCCTTTGAGCATTTTTCTATCACTTATTGTGCAATTAAGCCTGCTATAGCGTTCCTTGATCTTGTCTCTCAAGCAGAATCTCATGAACTGTTCTTGGCCTCACTTCAAGAATCACCACATGTTGCTGCCTTTAAAGCTCAACAACAACGATCTTCTCAATCATCCCGTGGTGGCTCTACTTATAGAGGAAGAGGTCATGGCTCCAATTCTGGTGGTAGGGGACGTGGCAGAAGACCACCACATTGTTAATTATGCCAGATAAATGGTCACTATGCAAGTTCCTGCCCTGACCTTGCATCATTTGCTCGTAAAAATACTTCCCCCGATGAAACTCTTGCTCAGGTTTTCCATGCTCAATGCCACATCACCAATTGCTCTCCTGATTGGTATGTTGACTCAAGGGCCACATCACACGTGATGCCTTCTACCACCCACTTGGACTCGGCTTCTCCTTATACCGGTCATCAACAAGTAATTTTCGAAAATGGTAAAGTCTCTTCTATTTCTTACATTGGTACTTCCACTTTACCTTCCAATCTTGTGTTATCCGATGTTCTTGTGGTTCCTAATTTTACCAAGAATCTATTATCAATTAGCAAACTAACCCAAGACTCACTGGTTGATTTGTTATTCTCTAATCCCTTTTTTAGTATTCATAATCGCAAAACAAAGGCAATATTAGCAAAGGGTAGGTTTGACAACGGGCTTTATGTAAACATGGTCATCAAGTGTTCCTTACAACTTTAACTTCTTCCAAACTTTGTGCATCTCCATAACTGTGGCATGCTAGATTAGGTCATGTTTCTTTTGATACCCTTTTTGTTTTAAATAAGAGAGGTTGTTTGTCGTTGTGACATCCCCAAAATCTCAGCCAGAAAAGACCGATTTCATTTATGCTTTTTAAAATAATTTTCAGAGTAAATCCTTTTAATTTTAAAAGAGATGCGGAATTTGTTCCCAAAAACAAAACATGATAAAATAGATATTTATCAAAACATTTCATAAAGAAATATGATTTCATTTCATAATCAAAAGTCGGGATGTCATGTTCCGATACAGGTCATAAAGCATAAACGATAACATTACAAGTCGTTCAACAAATATATACATATACAGACTTGTAAACAAAACAATTTGATGTTCGCCCATCTTAAGCTCTTGCGCCACTTCCTGTAAAATAAATCAACTGAGTGGGTCAGGCTTGGGATCCTGGTGAGCATATAGGGTTTTCAAACCCACAATAATTATATTTAATTACAACAATCAACAATAAACCCGATTACCCATTCCCGTTATCCTCACCTTACGTTCCTAAAAATAACGTCTATTATAAGGAACTATTTCAGGATTTTTCATCGGGACGGACATCACTGCAGAGGGGCTTCCTCAACAATAAGTGTCCTAAAGGCAACCATGTGGGGGATAGAGTACACCGGTGAACACGTCGTTCACAACACCTACAGGTAATGAGCCTGCTAGTGTTCCACAGGACAGTCTAGAATAGTCCGTGGTCGTCATCCATACTCTGCTGAATGACTAGAATAACACCAATAACACCGAGGCCTCTCATCTGTTTATTACACACCAATTATCTACCCATGTTCTACCCAACATATTAGTAGATAAAAATATACATTTTTATACATAGTTTAAAAACCTGTATAACATGTTTTAATCAATACATATTCCACATAACAGATGAGGCATACACACATAACACGTATTTCATAGAGAATACATCAGATCTATAAGATAGAAGAGAGTGAATATACACTCACACGTATAACAACCAAATATATACACATAACACGTATTTTATAGGAAATACTTCATAATATTGCGTTGGAATGAAAATAACTACACACTCACTTGATCAGAAGATGATCGGGCAGCACTACGGCTTGCAGAAGAGGTGTTTCTCCGTAGATCTGGAAGATCTTCACAAAACCGGGCTCCTCGCGGGCAGCGTTTCGGCTCGGGAATAACGCTCTTCGGGATCCTCGGGGCTTCGGATCTTACTTCGGGGCTCGGGAATATTACCGGGGCTTTGGGGTATATTGGCACGCAAATCGAGGCAAAACTTAGAGAGAGGGAAGAGTTTGAACAAGAGAAAATGGCTGAATTCGAGTTCTATTTATAGGCTGCTGGGTCTGGGATTACGCGGGGCGTACTCAAATTACGCGGGGCGTACTCAGTACGCGGGGCGTACTCGGGTTACGCGGGGCGTACTTTGACGTCACTGCGTGCGTCGACTGGTGGCACTCGAGTATTGGTCAGACAAGTTGCATCCGACTGAGTACGCGGGGCGTACTCAAATTACGCGGGGCGTAATTGACTTGTCAAACTTCTAAATTGCGTAACTTTCGCATACGAGCTCCGTTTTCGACGTTCTTTATATCCACGCGAAGGTCAGACCATACTCTACAACTTTCATTTAGACTCCGTCGGCTAATTTTGACTTTTATTTTTATTATTTATTTTTAGAAGGCCGGGA